GAGAGAGAGAGAGAGAGAGAGAGAGAGAGAGAGAGAGAGAGAGAGAGAGAGAGAGAATTACCAAAAGCTAGCTTTTATAGACTGCTTGTAGATAGCATGAGTGCACATGTGTATGCAGCACACAAGTATTTCCAACTATAGAGGCCTACCCCAACCTGGTACCCTTCAGGTATTTTAAATTTCAACTCCCTAGTCAGCATGGTTACTGGTCAAGAATCCTGGGACTTGTACTGCAAAACATCTAGAGGGCACCAGGTTGGAGAAGGCTGACTTATTGGACTACTAAAAGGGATAGAGAGCAAATATCGGAAAATGTCTTCAAATGCCTTTGAAGAGCCTGCTTTTAAACACTCTGTGATCTGTCTCTCAAAGAGCGGGTTAATGGCCTTAAGGAAAGTTTACAGTCTAGCATGAACAGTGCTAGATCAAGTGTTTTCCCACTCCATCATAACCAGCTAAAAGTGATTTGTTCTGCTGCCCATACAATCCATTTCTAAGCACTTGAGAGTAGCAAGAGGACCCATTCTGCAGAAAAAGCAAGCCCTCTCTACAATTAAGCTTCTTTCACCTCTCGAGGTGGTGAATTTTGCTGCACAGGAATATAGCCGTCGTGAGGAAAAATACCATTTCCCAGAGTTCTGCAAGCACACACTGAACTCATGTGAAATCGGAGAAAATAAAAAGAACTATATATTTTAATAGGCAGTCTATGCCATCTCTGAGTTCCCGAAATAAGCATGTTAAGCCCTGCACACTATTTTCCAAGAGCATATCAAACATAAAGCGGGAAAAAATAGTATGTGACATATTCCTATGTGGCTAATACCAGCAAAACAGGTTGACTCCAACACCATGAATACAATCTTTCAGAAGGCATTCCAACTTTGTTTGCATACTATTTATTAGCAACATGGTTAAAGCAGTTCCACTTCTAAACTGCATACAAAACAGGACATACATGGAATGAGAAGGAATACAAAAAATGCGACTTGGGAGAAGAGAATTTTTACCACTTTCCCATTACCTATCCTCCCTCAACAACTCTTCAAAATAAACTGTATTAGCATGATATGCAGTCAGCATATTCAATGGTCTCAGGTACATCTGGTAGCATGACCGAGATGCTTCAGCATAATAGTCCTGCCATGCCCTGTAATATGCTCGCCAGTACTCCTCATAATTGAGATGGTTGCTCTGAGAAAAAGGAACATGTTTGCCTTGGGGTGCATTTTCTCTAGCCTCTCTATTGGAGGTCTTGCTGGCTTGAGAAGAGCAGCCAGGCCTACTCTGTTTGCTCTGTTTCACATTCTGTTTCATCTTCTTGTGGAGCACAGAAGCCTCTTGAAACTGCTCTGGTTCAGGGACACCAGTGAACTGCAGAGCATGTCTCTGAACTGTCCGGTTTGTTGCCAGTTCACCATTGTCTCTTTGCTGTGTATCTGATGAAGCTCTGATATATGACTGGTCTTCCCGGCTATATGTGGATGATCCAGAACTGCAAGAACTACTATCACTATCAGACTCTCCAGTCAGCACCCCAGCTGTTGTTGCAATGTATGTTCTGGATTCCATTCCTGCCTGGTCAAGGACCTTGTTTTCTGGGTGCATATACTGCTCACTAGGACCTGAGTAAGTTCTTACAATTTCCACATCTCTCTCCAATCCTTCCTTAATGAAGTATTCATAATCCTCAACAAATTCAACCATGCTCCATGTATTGGTGGACTGATGATTTTTAAAAGATGACAAACAAGGGATCTTAGGAAGTGCATCTTTTATAGTTTCCCTTTCCACCTCTCCGTTATGCTGCCCAGCAGTTTTATAATTAGGTTCCATTTGACAGTTCTGCTTTGGAATTCCATGAGAAGACTGTGGATTTCTAGTTATTATTGCTTTAGTATTCTCCATTCTGTTTTTAAACTGCTGTTTTTGTTTGTTTTTATGTTTGGTGGCAGGAGGATTTTTTTCAGAATTTTCAGAAATATCATCAGCAGAAATCTGTGCACTGTTGCTTACTACAGTGTGTTGCATTGCTCCTTCTGGTCTTTTAGCTGGCAACAGAGAAGCATTCAGTGAAGCGTTGGGGTACGGGACAGCAGTGACTTCTACATCCCAACCATCACACCGTTCCATCAGCCCAGGAGGGATAGGTTCTTTAAAACAAAAAGTTAATACCAATGAGCAGTATTCTTTCCCAGAGAAACACACATGAATACTTTGGCTACTAAGATCACAATTAAAATCACTTGATGTTTTGTCAACTCTGCTTACATTCATATCCCTGGTATCCCCTATATTTGTGGAGAAAAGAAAAGCTTCATTTTACACTTTATTATTTCTATAGCCCACAACTTCTCTTAAGAACAGTGTACCACAGCACACTGCCAAGACCCAGAAATTCAAACTTGAAAACACTGAGTTTAAAATCATTCAGTTTTGAAGAACTGCACAGATTAGATGTGCAAGCAGTCCCCAAGTTATGAATGCCCAAGCTACAAACAAACTGCCATAAAGCCTTTTTTTTTAACACTGAAGAAAATTGTCATCACCATAGAGAGAAAGGAAGCTAAAAGGGAGAGAGGGGGGCCTCCTAAGCATGCCTTCCTGCCCTGACTATCTGGGCAGAGGAATCTCTCATTTCTTTGCTGCAAAGAGGAGGCACTGGTAAGTTTGGGTAATGGTGGTGGGGGAGGTGTCCTAGAGATATTACCAGTTTTTCTACTGTCATGGAGGTCCTGTGCCCTAACCCACACAAATGTGGAGAAATGACTGTACATGGGTCAGACTTGCATACAAATTCAACTTAAAGATGATTTCCCAGGAACAGAACTCATTTGTACCCCAGGAACTGCCCGTATTTTTATTATATGGTTAAAACCATCTATTAGCTTTTAAAAGAAAAGAACACAAAAGCACTTCCTCAAGCTAAAAAGAGTTAAGGTCCTGAAAAATGTCCAGGACTGAAAGATAATCACTGATCAAGTAATTAAACTTCTTCTGTACTTACAATACTGCAACCTTGAGAGGTGCCTTCTTTTGCAACCTCTCTAGGCAATTTAATCCAATGCCAAACTTGTCTGACATATAGGTTTAGAAACCTGTTTTTACCACCATTATATTCAAAACCTCTGCTCTGTGTCCTATTTTCAGCAGACAATCAAATGTTTGTCGGCCATTATATCATTTGGCACAACATACTCATACCAAGCAGGTCTCACTAAAATGTATTTGATAAAATGCTTTATTTAATGTCTTAATTATTAGGATTTCAGTTGTATTAACAGTTGTACTAACTTTAAATGATAAAACAAAAAGATCCAATGATTATCAACTTTAGTTTAACACTTGTGTGTAGAACACCCCATAAGTCACTCAAGATTCAGAGTAACAGGCCTATGACTGTGTGACTGACACTATAATCCTAAAGTCCTAAAGATTTCAGTTAGACTTATTCCCAGGTGAGTGTAGAATAGCAGCTTAATTCTCTGTTAAATCTGAAGCATATACTACACCACAATTCATAAGTGTAAATGCACAATTCAAGCATTAATTTCTCAAACATCCCAGAGACAATTTTACCTGGTAAAGGAAGAAGCCGAAGATTACACTTCTGTGCAATTTTCATCATCATAGTTTCTTCTTCTCCACGACAGCAATATGTCACTGCAAGCCCTAAGGTTCCTGCAACAAAACAGACAGGTTAATTAGTTAGGTTAATTAGTAAGACCTAATTGTAAATCCACAACATACAACAGGAGAGAAAACTCAAAGAGAATTTACCAAAGCGTCCAGCTCTACCAATCCGATGCATATATGTTTCCCAGTCCACAGGCACATCTAAATTAATGACCAGGTTCACTTTCTCAGCATCAATTCCACGGGAAGTCTGTTAAGAAAACCCAAGGGCAGCAGTAAGCAGGAGATAAGCCAAACACTTAGACATTTTGCACATTTAGAATTTCTCCTACTGAGTTTGCTATTTTGTTCAGATTTATGTATTTCTGTAAATCTTAACAGAAACAATATGTTTAGATATGTGCTGAGGATAATTTACACACAAGCAATCAAGAAAGCTAATCATTTTCCTTCTTATCAAACTTGACTTACAATATATGTAAGCACAAGAGTGAACTTGTTTTGGTTTGACTGTCTAGATCTTTCAAACCTGCTCTGTCTTAAATATATTTACACATCTTACATTTAATAGAAAAGGCTTACCAAATCAGTTGAAATCAAGACTCTGCAGTGGAACTGCTTCAGTTTAGCCATGGCATCAAGTCGCTGATTCTGATTCATACTGCCTAGAGAAACAAAGACAAATAAAGACAAATAAATTAAGTTGTGGGACAAGGAACTAGCAGCATTGTTAAGGTAGTTTGCTTCACATTTTTCAAATTTTTAAAACTAAAAACTGAAAAAGCCATTGATCACTGTGCCCCATCCTTATGCATTCTAGCAGGAATTCTTAGAATAGAACACAACTTGGAACACTGGAAACTGATTAAAGAATTCTTACCAGATTCTATAACCACACAGAAATAAACTGCTAGTCAAAGTAACTTAGATTAACTCTATAATCTTATACATATTTACTCCTACTGAATTCAATGGGACCTACTCCCATGTAAACATTTATAAAATTACAATCTGGAACGATCAACTTAAAGACACAATGCCTTTAACATACAACCAAACTTCCTTCATAACAGGTTCAGCAAAGTAACACAACATGCCTACAGACTTGCCTGAAATACACTCAGCAGGAAAACCTTTGGATGTCAGTAAATCTGCCAGATGTTGAGCTCTTCAAAACAAGGATGAGAAAAGATAGGACAAATGTATCAACAATGTAATACCTCGATTATTTCCCCCTTTGACAGCAGCTCAAAATGCCTGACAATAATGTATGGCAGAAAAGTAAACAGTTCTGTATATATATTAAGGAGCAAATTGCTTCCTGCATTATAAAATCCAAGCAACACAAGTGACTAAATCAGAAAACTTTCTCCCCAAGTGCTTGATCTACTGTAAAAGATAAATGCTTGGATTTGCTTTTTAATTCATATAAAATGGAGATGTTGAAGAAACCCCCAGCCTCTTTAGACACAAATTTATTCTACCATTTATTTCATTCACCATCATACAATGTGCTAAACCTTTGATGACAAATCTTTTCCCTCTTTTAACTGATCTAGATTAAAACACACACACACACACACACACACACACAATACCGGCAATGTAGGTTTGAGAAGACCAGGGCCTGGTTGAAAGGAACCTTGCTGAACAGCTCCTGTAAATGCTCAGCCTTCTCCTCAAAAGTCTTGTGAGGCAATGGGTGAGAATTCACAACTCTGAAGAACTGCTTCAACCCTACCCAAGACAAGATGGTTAGGGTTATATTATATACACAAAATACATCCTTGGAGAAAAGGATACAAATTTACCAAGTAATAAACATTTATACAGTATGTCTGGCTGAAACATTATTCTACAGAGCACCAGTCAAAGAATTATTTATGAGACTTAGAGAACTGACTTACAAATACTGCAAACTTTGTAACACTTTGTACTGTAAGATTACAAACACTGTAATCATACATCTCTTACATATTAGGAGGATCTGCAGAGATGATAAGGGAAAACATACATACCAATGAGACTTGGGTCAGTGGGATTCAGCCTCACAAAGGTGGGATCTCTCATGTACCTAGTCAAAGTATTAGCCAAAGATTCAGGATAAGTGGCTGAAACAGCCAACATCTGCTTGTTGGCTGGTAGAGAAGAATAAATCCAACTAAAAGAGAAGCAGAGAAAAGAGAAAATAATTCAAAGAAAATCTTTACACTAAATATTATTCTATTTCATATATTTAAGGTGTTTCTTAAGAGTGCATCACCCTCCAAAATAAATATACAAAAATAATTGAAAAGTGATCATATCAGAACAGAGGACTAGAATTACCTCAAAGTATTTTTCTGCTGATAAAAGCTATTATATCAAAGGCAGCCTTGAAGAGGAAAGACTTCTTTTCTTATCCAATCCAGTCCTCCATCAGCTTCACTGGCTTCCCATTGAAGCCCGGGCCCAATTCAAGGTGTTGATTATGACCTACAAAGCCCTCAACGGCTTGGGTCCTGGCTACCTGAACGAGCGCTTGCGTCCGTATATGCCCGACCGCCCTTTGAGATCTGCAGGAGAGTCCCTTCTCCGGGAACCCTCCATGAAAGAAATTAGGAGAGTAAGTACCCGGAGGAGGGCTTTCTCTGCGGTGGCGCCCAACCTATGGAATTCACTCCCCAAAGAGGTCCGCCTGGCACCGTCGTTACTGGTTTTTCGGCGCCAGGTAAAGACCTTTTTATTTAAACATCATTTCAATTGTCAAAACATATGATCTGGCCTGGGCAACTTCTTCTTCCTTCTCTTTCTCCTCCTATATTTTTATTTTATACTGATAATTTTAATTTTGTATTTGTAAATCAATGTATTTTTTGTATTGTTATATTTAATGGTAATTTATTATGTACTATTGTATTTCAATGTATTTTATCATGTTGTAAGCTGCCCCGAGGTTTCGGCAAGGGGCGGCATAGAAATGTTATAATAATAATAATAATAATAATAATAATAATAATAAACCATCTACCAGGGAAAGCAAGGTTATTTCTGTTCCAAATCCAGACCTGAATGGAGTTAAGTAATACATTTCTCCAAAACCACCTTCAGGTGAGTGACTACAAGCCCCTCCAACACTTTCCCAAAAAGGGAAAGTTAATGACGTGACATACATGGAAGTTCTAAGGACATAAAGATGGTTACTTGAGTAAGGGACACACCAAGAAAAGAGGGACTCCTACAGTCATTCAAGGAAGCAATTATTTTACCTGAAGTCTAGGTTTTCAATCCTGTACAAATATCTAGAGAACTGGGGACAAATCTCAAACTATCAACTAGATTATTCACTTCTACTTTTTTTGAAACAATCTAAAAGATGTCATTTGCAGCAATGATCCTATATTAATTATTGCATCTAACTCAGTGCAAATACAAGCAATTTTACCCTCAAAATACATTGCAAATTGGTAACACCAGCCCTTTGAGAGTTCTGGCACCAGTTCCACCAGATTTCGTGGACTTGCATTGCAGAAACAAGATATTTGGCATAGCTCATTATTCTTACTTGACTTGTTCTTGAAAACTGCCTTCTTCCAGAAGTTTATCTGCTTCATCAAGAATGAAGAGGCGAATGCTGGCTGTATTCAGATAGTCCAGCTCTATGAGTTGTTTTATGCGACCTGCCAATGAAATAAAGGATAGTTTAGGGCACAATCTATAGGATTGCACTTTAGAGTCTTCCAAATATATGAAAAATACAGTCAATACAGCTCAACCAATTATATTAAATCTGTTCTCTCCAAAATAATGTTTAATTGCTCCCTGCTAAATATACTTGAATATTTTTCCTATTTTCTCTAATTACATCAATTTTTCTTTCACAATGCATAGATAGCCTTATCAGATTTTGTAGCACAATGTAAAGTGTTATTAAGATGTCTACAATACAGTGCTGTCTTACCAGGGGAACCAACTGCTATATGACACTTCTTCAGCCGCATTTTATCTTGGTTTAAAGGAGTACCTCCAATGAAGACATGACATTCCAAACCTTCCATTTTGATCCCAATACTTGTAATAACTGCATGTATTTGTACAGCAATCTCTCGAGTAGGAGCCAAAACTAGAATCTGAAATAGACAATCAAGCTCTGAAATGATTAAAAGAACTAGTCTATTACTAAAATCCAAAAATATACTCTTCTAAATTATTTCTCCCATCCCTCAGAGAACAACTCAAATTATCTGTAAATGACATCCCATCAACTGAGTTTGCACAGTCCACTAAAAAATCCCCCCTTTAAACTCTGACCAGATATTCCATCAATAAATGCAGATATTTATAAACACAGATCCAAATGATAGCAAAAAGGCACAAATAAGTTTCATGGGAACTGTCCAGGAGGGATCTCTGCCCCATAAAATAAAATGTATGCAAATTTCAAAGTCCTACTTGCACATGGGAGAAAACTATAGCAAAAATCTTCAATTTTTACCATTTTTCAGATTTGGAGTGACAATGAGAAATGTTTCATTTTTTAAAAGATGTTGCTCCAGGCAACTGAGTATGAACATTTTATAAACTAGAAGAAATTTAGTACTGACTTTATTTTAGGCTGTCCATATCTCACAAATATGTAACATAAATGTCCAGGTGAACCGGTAAAACATCAATGAACTAATAACTTCCAGAACTATTTAGAAAATTATTTTTCACATGTCAGAATATATCAGTTGACTCAAAACAGTACATAGAATTATGTTGCTCACCTGGGTAACTGGGCTTTCCAAGATAAGGGAATCAAGTGCAATAGTAGAAAAGACACAGGTTTTACCAGTTCCAGATTTTGCCTGCACAATAAGATCTGAAAGATAAAGAAAGGATGCACTTCAGGAAGCTGGCAAGAGAATATCAGGAGAAAAACAGGATAAAGTTGCATAAATTACAGCAGCCATTCTCAAACTGCGTTCTAAGAAAATTCAGACATCCCTTTGAAATTTAAAAGAGGTTTCTCAATAAGAAGACTTATGAACAACAACTTTCCTTAGAAAACAGTCTGATCATCACTACTGATTTCCCTCTACAACATGAAGCCACAATTAAGTGGTTAAGGAGCATATTTTGTCATTTTCTCATTTCACATTACTTATTTTTACAAGCTTTTATATACTGTCCTCCATAGTCCAAGTGGATTTCTGAATCATTTGCAATTTTTTTAAAAAACAATATAATGATAAAACAACCATACAAGAGCAATACATTTCAATAGCAATACATTGCCGCACCTCAGCCAACCAACAAACATAAGGAATAAAATAAATAAGCATAAAAAACTAAGTAAATAGTAAAACAAACAAACTTCAGAGACCTGGAAAAGTATATAAAAACAAGTATAATGGTTTTTTAAAAAAATGCCTCATTTAACAATTAAAATAGAGAATAAAAAGGTTTTTGGTGTTGATACACATAAAAAGTTGGTACTACACTGTATCCTTAGGGAGTAGATTCCACAATTGGGTGCCACAACCAAGAAGGACCTTCCCCGAGTAGCCACCTTCCTGACATGTGTTAAAAGCGACTCCCAGAGAAGGGCCTCAGAAGATTATGTTAAGGTTCAGGTAGGCATGTATGGGACATTCCATCAGATATTCATGTCCTAAATCATTTAGGGCTTTGTATGTCAGTGTACACACCTTGAAATGGGCTTGGACTTGGATCAACAGCCAATATAGATAGTAAAGGATTGGTGTTATGTCCTCTTGTCTGCCAGCCCTTGTTAGCAGAGAAGCTGCTCTGATACGTACCAACTGCAGCTTCCAGACCATTTTCAAGAGCAGATTCACACAGAGAGCATTACAGTGGTCCAAGCAAGAGGTTACCAGAGCATGGCTCACTCTGACCATTAACGATCTCACATCACTATTAGCAAAAGCCCCACTTGGACTGTGTATATACCCTAACATAAGGGGAGATTTTCAACAGTGAAGTTAAGAGAATGGAATGAGAAAAGCATGGCCTGTGATAATCACACTCCTTAAAATATATGTAAAATAACTCTTGCTTTTAAAATAAAAATCTTTAACCCAGCACCTATAAAATATTAGCTTCTAACAATTATACTCAGTTGTAGTTTATGAATAAGATAATAAATATTATGAGAAAACCAGGCTAGTAAACACAACCACAGGCTAGAAGCACATCTGGTGAAAGAGAACAAAGCATTGTTCTTTTTAAGCATGCTTGGGTTTGCACAAAAGTCCCAGAAAAAATAAAGCCCCTTCCTCTGCAGGAAGTACGCCAACTGATTCTATGATTATTGCTGTCAACTGCCTAGAGAGCTTTGGCTATGGGCAGTATAAAAATGTAATAATAATAATAATAATAATAATTAAAGAAATGAGACAGAAACAAAAGAAACAGGTCTCTTTTACCACACCAATTGGCTTTTGGGGTGGTTCTGGAGTGAGTGAAGCCCTTTCTTCCTCAGACTGAACAAAAGAACAGAAGATTACTGTGCCTTCCCTTCACCAGCCTTTCTTCCACTTGCAGAGGATGCAACATTCTTCTGTGTTAAATACCTAATCACAAGCAGTGACCAATAGCATCACCAGAACGCAGACCTTACAACAGAACCCAACTGCAACCCCCACCTATTACATTAATTTTAAAAAACTGTCTGCTTTTTGTTCCATCTTTTGAAGTTATCGTCTTTAAAGCAATCCCACAAGACTAAAGAAAATAATGGTAATGCTCTCAGCACATCCTTCTCCATGTTGGCCAATTCTGCAACGCAATCAATTACCAGGTAGAGTTTTCTCAGCAAAGAAAGCTCTTCTGCAAATGTAGCTTGCAAACCACTGCACAAAATCAACCATGGTTCGACTAGCAACACTCACAAACTGAATGGTTAATTAGCCTCAATTCACATGGCGTCACTATCTCAAAAGCCAGAAGTATATTTCTTCCCTACCCACAGGGCATGAGTGGGGAACGTCTGTCCATCCGGACACTACAACTCTCATCATCCATGCTGGTTAGGATTGATAAGAGTTGCAGTCCAACAACACCTGGAAGTCCACATGATCTCTTCTGCCGTACCACAAGTTCACCTTTCAGCCTGTGAAAGTTCACCACTCAGCCTCCCCCCCATGACCAGTTCCGCTGCCCTGTCCCGGGACCCAGTGCGCTCACCCAGGCCACAGCGGCCCAGCGGGATGGCTTTGAGTTGCACTGGAGATGGCTTCAGGAACCCGGCAGCTTTCAGCCCTTCTAGCACGGGCGCCGACAGCATCAGAGACCCAAAGTCTTCGGGGCCCTCCTTTATGAGCACATCCCGAGTGCGCAGCCAGCTTTCAGCCGGAGCCGGAGCAGGCTCGGAAGCTGCCATCTTTCGAAGAGCGTGATCTGAAATGTCGCGAGAAGTCAAAGCAGAAGAAAGGAGCGACGTGACTTCTCACAGTGGGTGATGTAGCCGCGCGCGCCGAAAGCAAGCGGACGAGACGAAGGGGACGGGGAAATAGCGGGCTGAGAGAAACAAGGGAAGTGATTGGATGTCCGGAGGAGGACGAAACCATGAAGGGAGGGGGGCGTGGACACGCTCGGCGGCGCGCTGGAGGAGCCCTGCGGTTGAGAGGTCGGTGCAGAATGCTGGACGCGAAAGATTGAAGTGCGGTAGCTTTCAGCATGCTGGCCGCGGCGACTCTACCAGTACTGCTAAAAGTTCATGTTCGCATGACAATAAGCACTGCTGTATTGTGACAAAAAAACTTAAAGTGCTTTCATTGGCTCGTAAGAAAAGTTCGGAATCTTATTTGGCTTGTCCTTTATTAGAGCAAGCCTCAGTGTCATGAAAGCCGCGTATTCAAACGTTGGAGCTACATGAAACTCTTCCTCAGACTAGATCAAATCAGGCAAGATAAAATCCAACCTGGTGCCCATTGGATTTGTTGGTCTGCAGCTCTCATCACTCCCGGGCAGCCTCCCGTGCCATGTGGAGGTCAGTAGGTTGGGTAAGGCTGATATGGCTGATGTTACGGAGTCTGCATTTAGAAGCCTTTGACACAGTACACTGTTATCTCCCTAATCCGCTTCAACTAAGCCTCAAGACGGCTGCAATCCTAAATACTGGTTATATTAATAGGAGTAAAGGTTGTGAGATATGTAACTTCAATAAAGATTTATCTCCTATCTACCACTCCTCCATTTATTCCCCTTTCCCCTACTGTTTCTTTGATTACGGAATGCAAGTGCTTTGGGGCGGGGACCTTTCAGGGTGCTTCTAGCTCCGGGTTGGGGCAATTCCTAGCATGAGAAATCGGCATTTTGCTGCTGTTCCGTCCTAACAGATTATTTGCATTAAGGAAAAAAGACAAAAGAAGCAGTAAGAAAATTAGATTCAACAGAGCTCAGTTTACCAGAACTCAACCCAGACAAAAGCAGTTCGGCTATTGGCAATATAAAAATGTTTTTAAAAATCACCTCCACCATCATCGGTATTATCTATTGCCTATTCCGTTTCTCACCAGGAGAGGGAGCAAGCTGTGCATGAAATGTGTCTTTCGTATGTCTGCTTTACACACATAGTAATCTGGTTTTTTGTTAACTGCCTCTGCATCTAAAAGAAGAATCGTTTTTTTGTGAGATTCTCTTTTTTATTTGTGATCAATGCTAATGACAACAACAACAACAAAAACTATCAGGCTTGTTCAATTGTTGAAAATAACCCATAAGGAACAACATATTCTAACAACAAATTAAGTAGACCAGGACAAGAGATGTGCTAAATTTCTTATGGACAGGATTAGGTAGTGTGCTTTTTTGAGTTTAATGCTATTTTACTACTTTGCAAATGAACATTAGACAGCATCAGTTTTGTGCACTTCCCTTTTCTCTGCCATGGTCATCTGCCAAGGATGAAATTGGGAGCATCCAATTCCACTTTTAAATGAGGGTTTCCCATTACATTCAAATTCTGGAAATCAGGTTAGTTTAACAAGCAAGGATCAAATCTTAGTTTATGATCCTGGTTTGTTGATAAATCATAGTTTAAACTAGGCAGAGTTCATTTTTTATTCATTTGATTTATATGTTCTTTTCTACCAACACTGGGGCTCAAGGCAGCTAACAATAAAGTACAGGTTAAAAACAAAATATGTATTTAAATATAAGATAAAAGCTAATTAAAATAAACAAACAAATGGAATCCATCCAGTTAAAATTCCTGTCAGCAATATTAAATCTTTGCTTGCTGGCAAAAGACAGCTTGGGGAAAGCCAACCTAGACAGTTCCAGAGCCAGGGGATGGCCACTGAGAAGGGCCTTTCTTGAACACCCAGTAATCATAATTCCTAATGGCAGTGGGACATGGAGCAGGTCCTCCCTCAATGATCTTTAAACTGGGTAGCCCTGTGCAGAAAAGGCAATCATTCAAGTCGCCTGGTCCCAGATCATACAGGGTTTTATAGAGCATCACTAACACTTTGCATTCTGTTTGGAAACAACCAATGGAGCGACTGTGACAAGGGAGTCACATGGTCCCTGTAATAGTCCCTTTATCCACACTCAGTCCCCTTCCCTCCACTGACCACCAGCATGAGAATAATTGTGCTGGCTGCTTCTCCATGATCACAAAAATGACCCAGAGGAGGGGTTTAGTGAGGTTGGGACAAGAGGAGGCTGGTGCCGTCAAGATGCGACATATCCTGGTGCTGCCTCAGCCCGCTTCCCTCCCACTCCCAGGCAAGTGCAAGCCACAATCAGCCATCTAGTCATTTTGCAGAATGGGAGGGGCACCGAGGAAAGCGTCACTTCTGCATTCCTCCCACTCTTTAGAAGATGTCTGTAGCCCTCTGACTTTGGAGGGTGCAAGTCATCCCTCTAGGATTACGCTCTTGCTGTATCTGCAATTTATTTGACAGTTCTGTTGTCCGTAGAACTTCCATATTGCATGTAGATTAGCCCTGGCAACATGCCTCAAATTAGAAGGAATGCAAAACTTTCATACAGGCTGGCCTACTTATTGTGTCAAGTGGGCTTTTCAGCCAGTTAATTTGTTCATTAGAAAATTCTTCACCTGCCATATGTCTCTGTGCACATCTCATGCCTCTCCCAGTGCAATTTTAATTTATTTGTCAAAATGTTTATTTATCACCTAAAAAACCCAAGGCAGTTAACAACATTCTAGCTCTAGAATTGAATAGAATATTCAAAGCCAGAAAGAAATAAAGAGCATGAGAGCCAGTGTGGTATAATTATTAAGAGTGAGGACTGGGATTCAGGAAATCTGGGTTCTAGTCCCCACTCAGCCATGCAACTAACTGGGTGACTTTCAACCATTCAGTCTCAGCCCATCCTACCTCAAACAGTTGCTATTCTGAGTATAACATTGTGAGGAGGAGGATTATGTAAGCTACCTTGAATTTCTTGGAAGGAAAAAAGGAGGAACATAATATAATAAACAAAACGCCTGGTAGAACAAAAGAGGACAATGGAGAATCCTATAACCCTCCAAAAGAAGAGGATTATTGGCATCCTATTAAAGATGGAAAAAGTGTGGAGGTGAAGATCGCAGTTGGACAGTTTTTCAGGGTGGTTGTCTGAGTATTGTACTGGGAACCCAGGAGATCTGGGTTCTGGTCACCACTTGCACACAAATCTCACTGGGTGCCCTTCAGTCAGTCACACACTCTCAGCCCAGACCACCTTACAGGGCTGTTGTTCTGACGATAAAATTGAGCTATGTAAGTCACCTTGGGTTCATTATATCAGTAAAGGAAGGCAGAATACAATTGCAATACCATGCATTTATAGCTACCTCAGCTGTCAAAACAGATGTAAATAAGGGACCCTATTAGTCATTCCCAAAAGTGTGGGAAGTTGCTATGCTTCATCGCAGCATGCATCTTTGCCTCCATTTTTGCCTCAAGAGGAACAGTCTCATTCTGCTGAGATGGTATAGCAAGTTCCCACACAACTCATCTTTCCTCCATTTAAATCCATTTTCTCCTTCAAATCCTGCCATGAGTCCAAATTGCCCTCACCTGTCATGCTGGCCTCTTGGCTACAGATCTAGCTCAAGCGCACAAGACTTCCACAGTGATTAACAAGTTCCTAGTTCACTGCATTTCCAAGAATACTCATGAAAAACCAAGTATCCCTTCCCTGCCAACAGAACATTGCTTATTCACCCATTCACTCCTGTTAGTCTTCAGCTCAGTTTAAGACCCACTTTCATTTGGACCAGGTTCAGACAGAATTCTTTTCTGTTTCATCTGCTAACAAAGTCAAATGCATCCCTTCAGTAAAGTAAAAGAAACAAACATGCATTTGATGACAAATTTTCTTGATCAGAAATTCCAGCCAGGTATGATGGGGCATAAAAAACTCTTCCCTGTAATAGAAATTCCACAGAGTGGGAGGCAGCTAAGAAGATGATTTATACTTTTTTTCATAATAGGATGAGATTCTAAAGGGTAGCATCTTGGATTTAGGTTGCTCTTTACAAAATGAGCATTTATTCGTTATGATCAAAAGGACTATTACAAATAATCTCGTCTGTTTGGCATACAGTCTATTGCAGTCATATACGAAATTTAACAATGATGGTGAAGCTGACATCCTGTTACCTGGGCTAGTCAAGCTAAGGCTTCAGTGACAAATAGGTGGGCTTAATGGATGGGGCTGGTTTTTTTTTTTTTCTGAAAAGCAACCTGACTGCCATTATCAGTGATCACAGGCACTCCTTTTTCCTTTAGTTATCAGAAATGTAGAACTTGCACAGAAATGTGGAATTTTGCTCTGCAAAGTGCTCCTTTTCAAGTTTCCAGCAACCCAGCTGTGCCTTATTCTAAGATATTCCATTCCACCCCTCTCATTTTCTGTCACTCCCAGCAGAAAATCAGTGTGCTGTGGCCACTGAACAAAATCAGTTCCCATTATGTTGGTTTGGGGTGAAGGAAAGGTTCTCTAATAATTTTTTATCATTAAAACTCCATTTCTTAAATGTTGAAATCCCTGCAACCCTGCTGATACCTTACTGTTCTGCACAGATGCTGCCATTTCCCATAGTTAATAATCCATGCACAGAGAATGCATATATAGTATAAAGCAGAAGTTCTCAAACTGGTCTAAAAGCCCCCATCAAGCAGTCTACAAAATATATGCCCTTGAATTTTATTTCTCTGATAACAGAAATCAAATCCAGTTGGTCAGGACATGCAAACATGGGTTATGGAACATGCAAACAATTTCTAGGGCCACTGATTTTCACAATATTGCACAGGTTTGTTCTTACGTGCCATCAAGTCATCCCCAACTAATGATGACAATATGAATGAAAGCCTTCAAAATGTCCTGCCTTTAATAGCCCTGCACAGCTTGTATAAATTCAAGGCTGTGGCTTCCTTTATGAAATCAGTCTTGCTCATCTTT